CAGCACCATGGACATTGCGGGACTCACGCCGCGCATTCGGGACATTTTACAAATGTCGGACCTCTCGACCGTGTCTGCCAAAAAGGTGCGGCGACAGCTGGAAAACGAGCTCAACTCCTCGCTGGACAGCCACAAGGCGGAGATTGACGACATTATCAAGCTTCAGTTTCAGCAGCTCCACTCCGAGTCGCAGATGCGCCAGCAGGCCCAGGAGCAATACGTGCAACAGTACGCCAACCAGAACGCCATGGGCGGAGTTTACGGTGCCTCGCCGATGGGCCTGCATGTGCCAGGCTACGGCACCGCCAACGCGCCTCTGCCGTCCGGCCCTGGCGCACCGCCGGCCGACGCTGCACCGCGCAAGCGCGGCCGTCCGCGCAAGGCTGAGAACGAAAAGAAGCTGCAGCGCAAAAAGAAGCGCGATGAAGATCCGAACCGTCCCAAGCGCCAGACCGGCCTGTCAAAGCCCATGAAGTTGTCGCCCGAGCTGGCCGATTTCCTCGACCAAAAGTATTGTGCACGCACTGAAGTCGTCAAGAACTTGTGGAAGTACATTAAGCAGCACGATCTGCAAGACTCTGCCGACAAACGCTATATCCTGTGCGACGATAAGCTCAAGACCCTGTTCCACACCGATCGCCTGTACATGTACACCATGAACAAACTGCTCAATGATCACTTGATCAAGCCCACTCCCGAGGAAAATGCCGAAGCTATTGTAATGCTTGGTCTGCCGCCCACCCATCCCGCTGCTGCCGACAGCATCCCGCAGCCATCTGTCTCGGGCAGCGTTGCCCCCGAAAGCCCAGCCACAACTGATGCCGACGAGCCGGTAAAGTCAGAGTCTGACCAGCCCAAATCCGAATCGTCACCATTTATAGCCGAGCCCGAGCAGCACAAATCCGAGCCCGTACCATTTAAATCCGAGCCTGAGCCCGTAAAGTCTGAGCCGCCACTAGCACTGCCTCCCATGCCGTCCAGCGTCAATAGCGCCAACGGTGTCAATAACGCGTGAATACCTTTACCCTTCCGTCTTTAATTTGCACTTTCTTTTGCGCATATTGTGTTCTTTACTTTATTCAGCCCTATTCTACTCCGTCACCCGATCATCTGCATGCCCAAAAGAAATATAATAAAAGGAAATGGACCCTTTTTATTATTATCCCTTTAGCCCTTTATACTTTATTTGACACAAGAGAAGAGACCTGCGCTGCCTTGGCGCGGTAAAAGAAAAAATAAAACCATGGTCTTGGAATTTTTCTCTCTCTTCGTGCACATTTATTTATTTTTTATTCATTTTGTTATATTGAGAGGATGGATAACTTTTACAAGCAGTTTTTCGGAAAAGATGAGTACCCGCCGGACAAGAAACACGACAACAATGACGATGTCGATGACCTGGAGAGCACAGTAGACGACCGCACCTCCTACATTGGCAACGAAAAATATCAAGATCTCCACAGCCTCAATCTCGGCCCACCCTCACACCAGCCGCTGGCCGGCTCAAAGAAAGGTGACTTTGTCAAAGAAAAGGAAATGCCCCGTGAAACGTATTTGCGCACAGACGACCCAGATGAAACCATAAAGCCCAAGCGCGAACCAATAGACGAGGGCGAGTGGCCGCCGAGAAATGAGGAACTCACTGCCCCGGCTATGGGCGACTTTGGCGAGTCCAAACCAGAGCCGCCGTCAAAGAAGCATCCGCGTATTACATACTATGATGCCAACCAGCCACCAGCTGGAAGAAGGCCGCCTCCTGGTCCAAACAGAAGACCAAATATGCCACAGCCAGTCAGACGACAGGACACGCCGCCGGGGTTTAATAGAAGACCGTCGCCCGGTCCCAACAGACAGCCTCCTCCTGGCCCCAACAGACGGCCGCCACCACCCGGTGCTCATAGAAGACCGCCGCCGCCGGGCCCAAACAGACGGCCGCCCAGCCCGTATGGAAGACCAAACATGCCGCCACCAAACCACAGAAGACCGCCGCCGCCGCACATGTCGGAAAAGATGCCGCCAGGATATCCCGGAAACCGGCGCCCGAACACAGATGGCGAAATCATGCCATATGTCGGCAAATGGGGTATGATCTCGCGCTCATGGGCCAGCCAGACTGTCATTCTGATTGTGTTCATGGGCGTTGGTTACATTATGATGGCAGATAGCGCAAAACGTCTGGCCACCGAAGCTGCGCTGACGCTCAACTACGGATGCTCGTCAGTTGATACTGCAGCCAACGCCATTGTTAATGCCCCGAGCACTGCAGCGCTGGCCACTATAACCATGGTGGAAACGGCAGCCGAGAACGCTGTTGCTGCACTCGGACGCTCGCTCAACAAGATTATAACCATGTTGCGCGACCTGATTGTATGGGTGCTAAAGCTGTACATTGGCACGTTCATCTGCTTTGCTACGCTGATTGTAAAGACCGCGCTGACCATGATTAGCGAGGCCGGTAGGATTTTGACAGAAAAGCTCGAAGTTGCGGTTAACGAGGTGGTCGGCGACCTGCAAAATGTTGCCTCGACGATTGCGGATGGAGTTGAAAACGTAGCAAACGATGTCGCCAACTTTTTTACTGGCAACAAGGATGGCGATAAGAAAGTTGACTTTAATACGGACAGCATCAAGGAGAAGCTGACTATTACTATTCCAACCGACTGGACCGATAGCGTTGCCAACGTGGCCAACATGATTCCGACCGAGGACCAGATATTTGGCAACATTACCCAGCTTATTGATGTACCGTTTGGCATGCTGCGCAGCCTGGTCACCGGCGCATTTGCAGGCATTCACGTCAACATTGCTGACGATGTGCACCTTGTAACCGACAAGAAGGCCAACATCTGTGTGCACCCAATGGGCCAAGACACGATCAACGAGCTAGGCATTAGTGCTGCACGCATTATGCACATTTGTGGAATGGTACTGGTTGGCGTGGCTGTCGGCATCATTCTGTTCAAGGCCCTGTGGTCTATGCGCGAGGAGTCGCGGTTCCGCCGTCGTTTGGTCGCGTTCCGCAGCGATCTAGTAGACTACCACGCACCTGTGTCCAAGCGCGAGCTGCACGAAAAGCCTGCTACTCGCGAGGAAATGGACTTGTTCGTGCTGCCCGGCCAGCCCATGCTGCAGCGCTTCACCGACTTTGTTGTAAAGAAGCACGGCGACACTGAGCGCACCGCCGCCTGGCGCTGGTGGCTGCACTACGTGTGGCATCCTCCGGCCATTGCGTGCTTTGTAGCCGGTGCATTCGGTTTGGCGGCGATTATTGTACAGATTCAGGCTATTAACGCGATGCGCCGCGAGTTTATTCCAAAGCTGGCGCAGGAGCTTGACAATTTCCAGAACGATGCACTGAACGATGGCATTCTTGGCGGCGCCCGCACCGACGCCATTAACACGGCAGCCAACGTCAACTCGCACATCGAGTCTGCTGAGAAGGGAATGACCGACTCGCTGTTTGGCCCGCTGACTGAGGGCACAAGCAACATTAACGACACACTCAATGATTTTGTTGGCACATATATTGGCGGTATCCGCGATGTGTTTGGCGGCAGTCCGCTTCAAGATCCGATCGAGGGAATCGTCAACTGCACGCTGACCAAGAACATCCAGTCCATCCAGAAGATTCTGACGTTTATCAACGACTTTACCGACGACATCCAGCTACCGCGCGTCAGCGCTCATGTGTTGTACGCCCCCGTCGCTGCTATGACCAAGCCGCTCAACCTGACAGCCGCTGCACTGCGTGAGCTTGCGGTCGGCGTCTATGTCGCCAATGCCGACCAGCTGGATCCAGAAAGCTTCCTCCCGCAAAAGGACATGGACTACCTTTTGTCCCAGCTCGACAGCAGGCTCTCGTCCAGCGAAGATGAGCTCAGCGGCCTTGAAGATGAAAGCAGCGATCTTTCGAGCCTCGAGTCATCGGAATCTGAAGCTATTGACACGGTGGAAACTGACGAGCCGGTGGCCGATGGCGGCGCTGGAAACTTGCGCAAGCGGCAAGACCCGCCGCTTGATACTACGCCAACCGCTGCGGGCGACTTCCAAGTTACTCAGCTAATTCCGTCGCTCCCTGTCGGATGGGAGGCTGAGGATGGCGGCGAGCTCAACGATTTGGGAGACGACTCATCCAGCTTATACTACATTAGCGAGATTGACATGGTCGTTGGCTCGGAAGAGCCCGTGGCCACTTCTGAGCTATCTCGCGAGGAAGTCGAGGATGCGCAAGACTTTAACGGCTACACAGGTGGCGCCATTGGAAAGCTCTGCGACATGTACATTAATGACTTGAAGGGCGACATCCCCATGATGATTGCATTGATGCTCGTGTGGGTTATTATTGCCATTGTTGGCGCGGTAAAGGTGGCCAAAGACTACTCGTACATTAAGAAACACAACCTTCGCTAAGGTTTAAAGTCTCCAAGCAGCCCAACATTTTTCATGATTTTCTTTTCTTTTCCTTTCTTATTTCTGCATTATACTTGTAATAATTAAATGGTCCGTCCATCTTCCTGGTGCAGCCACAAGCAACGGCGTCGGCTGAGCAATCTCGGCAAGCAACTGGCATCCGGCTACTCGTTTCATGAAAAGGTAGTTGACGAGTATCCTGAACCAGCAAAATTCATCTCGCGTGTAGATTTTCATGAGCTGCGCGAGTCGGTTAAATCCATTTGGCGCAAGCGACTGCACACAGACCGCATTAAAACAATTATATTTGCTATCCCAAACGGCCAGGAAACGCCTACAGACTACCAGATTCTGTCTGACGGAAACCATATAAATGTTATAAAGTCGCTGAGCCCAGCACACAGCCAGTGTGTGTTCTACGAGCTGGAAAGCGGGTACCAAAAAGATGGAACCACGGCATCCGACATCACCATGTTTAACGAGTTTATCATCGACTTGCCAGAAAAAAGTAACGCGTTTGACCAGTGCCCAATAACGCTAAACTCGGTCGTGTTTTGCTAAACGTTTAATAAAAAACTGCAAAAAATAAACGTCAGTTGCAGGATTTGAACCTACGCGGGAAACTCCCAACAGATTTCAAGTCTGTCGCCTTAACCACTCGGCCAAACTGACCTTGATAAATTTCTAAACTAATTTACCATTTTTAGAAGCTAGTCATCGGCATGGTATAGGACGTGCGACATTACATTTTAAAAATGGCATTTAGCGCAATAATTATTAAACAATAACTGCTTTATTATTAGCACAATACATGTAAATTGCGGTAAAGATACTAGTACGTTAATAAAAGACTCGTTAAACGTATAGCTAATATTATTTATTACGTTATTATAAATGTAAACGTGTATTAAAGTCATTTTCATTGTCAACTGCATTAGATAAGCAAAAGCTATTTAAAAATTAAAGCTGGATGAGCGGGCTGCAGTTGATGGTGATAAGGCCGCCAACAGTGTTAACGACACCACCGACCGTGTTAGCTGCACCGCCAACAACACCACCAGCAACGCCGCCAACAGTGTCAACAACGCCATCGACAACACCGCCAGCAGCGTTCACAGCGCCAGCAACAGTTCCCTCGGCAGCGTTAACAACACCGCTCACAGCGCCCTGCGCAGTGTCAACAACATCATTGACAACACCGCCAACGGTGTTAACAACGCCGCCAACAGTGTTGACCACGCCGCCCAGAACACCGCCCAGGATACCGCCGGTAACACCGTTGACAGTGTCAGCCACGCCGTTGACCAAACCACCACCAGCGTTCACAACACCACCAACGGTACCGACCGCGCCATCAACAACGCCATTAACGGAGCCCTCAACATTGTTAACGAGGCCAGCAGCTGCAACCAGCACACCCTTCAATGTGTCGCTGACCTTGAGCGAGCTGAGGTCGAGGTTCAGGAGTCCGCCCTTGTCAAAGTTGAGAATGCCCTGGCCAAGGATTCCGCGGTACAGGTCAATGGTGCCGAGGTCGCCAACAATGTTAAGCGCTTGTCTGGCATCGAGGAAACCAAGAATCCACTTTAGCTCGTCAACCTTGACGCCGCTGGCAAGGTTAAGCACGTTGCCCGACGAGCCCAAAGTGTCGGTCACAAACTTGAGGTTGGTTGTCTGAATAAGCGAGCCAATGACGCCAGTAATGTCAGTCACGCCGTCCAGCAGCGCGGTGTCATACAGAATAGACTTGGTCAGCGAATTGACGATGCCGAGCTCGCCAATGAGCTTGTCCGTCGGTACTTGGAACTTTTCGTTGGCGACCTTGACCTGCGACGCGTAAAAGTCGGGGTTGACAGATGCCTTGGTCCAAGCGTCGCAGAAGTTTTCGAGGCCCTTCGTGGAGTCGCTTACATCTGCGGCGCACTGCTTGAGCGTGCTCAGCAGCGAGTCAAACTCGCCGCCGTATTTGGCAGTCTTTTGGAACTGCTCGACGACTTGCAGCGCATCGCCGTTCTGGGTCGAAAAGCCGGCAAAGCCAGCGAGAATACCACCGGCACCGCCGGTAGCGTTGGAGCAATGCGCATTGTTGCCCTGGCCCTTGCCGAGATGAACAATGTTGAGGAGCTGGTTAGAGATGTTGAAGGCGCACTGGCCCGAGCCAAGGTTGACAAGGCCGGCGTTTGCCGAGGACAGAGTGGCGATGAGACCAACGGAAATGGTGGTAAACTTCATTTTGTCGAGATTTGTAAGGCGGGGAGGTAGCGACGGCGCAGGAAGGATAAAGGTTAGGATGGAGGACCGGTTTGTGGCAGGGGCGAAACCGGTTGGCGTTTTATACCCTGGGAATATGAGCTTCTGATTGACCACTCCTTCCCGCGCAAAGACGGAGATCTTCAAGACCGCTACACATTATTCTTTGGAATAAATTTGTAGTTCTGGGAACAAGGAGCAGCGGTGCATGCACACGTGTTAAAAAATGACGGAATTGTGCAACAGAAAACATCAATTTCATTTTTACGTCCATTATTCTGGACATGCATTCGGTAAGATCGCCGGTCTGAATGCCTTGTTCCGTGATGCAGTGCATCTGATGAGACCGCCTTTTTGCAATCCTTTGAAAATTCGCCGTCAAAAAGTATGGAATTTGACTGAAAATAGAACGAATGATCGCTGAGAAACTAAAAGGATAGGCCGCACATATCAGGTATAAAATCAAAGCACGTACAAATACGTCATTTAACTATAGATGTCATTTCGAAGAAAAAGATTTACTGTATCATTTTGTCGGTTGTTGACAGCGGCATGCGTTGCATACGAGCTGGGTTCAACGGGGTCATTGTAAACATGTGGCTGTTGAATGACGCCAGACGATTTCCAGTAAAACAGCGACGCATGAGCAGAAGCCCGCCAACCGAGACGCACACGTTGAAGATAATATTGTTGCGATTGGACGACTTTTATTTATAAATCTGTCTGGTGGTGTCGCAACTAGACGATTGGCCAAAATAGAATCGACTCGGAAGCTGCGCAGTTATCAATCCAGCCGTGACCAAGGTAAAGTTGGACACATTGTATCATATTGCGCTCTATAATCAATGATATAACCGTGTTATAGATGTTCAACTGGATAAAATATGTAAATTTCTCAGTGAAACTACACAAGCATTCTCCTTTTACCGCGGTCATCATTGACATGGCGGGGATTGACATCATGTTTGACGAGGTGCCTAAAACTAGGCCATACAGAGTTGACCACGAATTGAATTTTTCTGCAGGCGCGAAGCTCAGTTGATCCGTGCAACTCGTAACAACAACATTGATGGATTTTGAAAATTGCATTTTTATTGCGATTAAACCAGTTTGTCGCAAATACAAGCGTTTTCTATTTAATTGCTTCAATTATAGCATACTTGCTGGCAATAACCGCCTTTTAGCCGAAACAAGCCAAACAGTTAATGTTCAATTCCACGAACAAACAAAAAACTGACACACTAATGGTTGTTGGGTTTGTCGTTGGTCAAGTAGACGATACCCGCCGATCCAAGCTTGCGACGAGCAGCCTCCATCGATGCGCCATGCTGGTGAGTAACCGACGTTGACGCCAACTCGTTTTGACGACGCTCCCGCTCATGCTTTTTCATAACCCGGTCAACCTTGTTTTTGCCGCTATAATGGCCATGGAACGCATGCGACAGCTGTTTATATGCTTCTTTGGTAGTCAGCTGTCGACCAGCCTCATCAACATACTCGAGGCGCACATCTGGCTTGTAATCGCGCATCCGGTCCTCGTACTCGCGCGCCCACTTGCGATCCAACGCGTCCTGGTCGCGTTGCCGCAGCTCCTCGAGCTCGCGTTGCGTCATCGCGTCTGCTTTACCGCGCCGCTGCTTTGAGTCGTGGGGCAAATCGGGCTGTGGTTTGTGCATTTGCTTGATTCGCTGCCGCTCTTTTTGCAGTTCGTGCTCTTGGCGCCGGTGAGAAGATACCCATTGGTCGCGGCCCCGCGCTTGTGCTTCGCGTTGGCGTTGCTCGTCGGTCATTGCATCGAGCATGTTGCGTTGACGCAAAAGACTAAGGGTGCCAGCCAGTCCCATTCCAACTGATGGTTCTTTTTCGATCACGGTCTCAGGTTCAGGTTCTAGCTTGGATTCAGACCGATGAGATTCAGACCGATGAGATTCAGATTGTTGGATTTCCGATGGCTGGGATTTGCGGGGTCGCTTAACTATCCGCGCCTCTTCTTCGTCATCGTCCTTTGCATCGGATACTGCTGCTCGAAGTCCCTGAACAAACTCTATAGTGCCCGACAACAAAAGCCCTGAATCACCCGCATTTTCTTCCACCTCCATATCCACACATTCTTCGCTCTGCACATCAACCGTCTCCACACGCTTTGGTTTCTGTGCCCGACGCATACGAGCTATAGCTCGCTGCAGGTCATCGTCGTCATCTACAAAACTAGAGTCGTCGATTTGTGTTTTGCGCGACAAAATAGCGTTGACGCGGTCAGAGTCCACATGCACAAAGTCGTTTGTGGATGTTTGCGCTCGACGTGCCTTTCGTTTATCGCGCCGTGGCTTTTTGAACTGCACAAAATCGCTCACCAAAGCCGGAGTTTCCGACTCTGCCGATTGCACAGCGCGACCGTCCTTTTCTGTTGCAGATTTGATCTCTTCAGATATAACAAATCCCTCTTCTCTGTCCTCTTCCTCATCATCCAAGACTGCGTGTGCTGTGTCGTGGCCATAGAGTGGGTTGGCACGCTCGCGTCGCTCAGCGTTCTTTTGCGCACGTTTGCGGTCTGAAATCAAAGAATTTTCGAGCCGCACGCTTTCTTCAGTGTTGTCCAGTTCGTCGATGGTTTGGTCCTGTAGTGTCAACACTTGTTCGCTGCCTTTGTCTATTGCGTCAATGCTGTGGGCTACGCGCAAGCCAGCAAGGTCTTTGGCCGTGTATTCTGGCCGAGACGAGTTGTCGGCCACATGCTCTTCATCTTGGGCTTGCCGGCGGCGGCTGCGTTTGACCCAGCTGGCAGCGCTAAGCGAGTCGTCGTTCTTCTTCCGAGGCATTAGTACAATATACAAAAATATATCTAAACCTAAAATTCCGCTATGATTAAGCCTCCCCATAACACGTCACACATCTTATGGGCGGAAAAATTAACCCAACTGCAAACTAAAAATATATTCTTTCTTTTATATTAAACATTCCAAATACAGATTACCCGCAATGGAGGAACAATACCGAGCCTGGCGGCGCAAGATGCTCGACCAACACCCCGACCAAACCGAACTAACGTTTGCCGACTTTCGAACGCATGTGATGCAAGGCGACGACAACGGCCGGCTGCTCAACTACGTGAATGCAAACGTTATATTTCAGGCTGGAGTGGACTTTGAAAGCAAGCCCATGCTTGTGTTTTGCGCATGCAGTTTGCCCAGCCCAAATGAAGTAGACTACGAGCGGCTATTGAATTTGGTGCTGTTTCGCTTGGACGAGTTTGTGGAAAGTGATTATACGGTTGTCATGCTGTCGAGCGGAGCCAAACACACAGTTGGGTGGCAGTGGATGGGAAAAGCATATCGTCGGCTCGACCGCAGGTACCGAAAGAACGTAAAGTCCGTGTACGTCGTGCATCCGTCCATGTGGACCAAGCTTGTATTCCGAGTATT